TAAAACGCTTAATAACCTTCATTACATGTGAGAGAAAGAACATAAGAAAGTTTGACAAAGATGAGGCTGTTAAACGGGCAGCGGATCCGCTGTGTGTAGAAAGAGAGAGAGAGACGCTGAGCTGCACCGTGCAGCGATCAGCTGATACGGAGCATAGAGAGAGAGCGCTGCGGTCCGCGGGGCACGGCCTCGCCTCCTGTCCTCACAACTCTTATCAATCCCGGGACCGGACAATTGTTATTTGTTCCTCCTCAGAACCGAGTTTTGCTTCCCAACCCTGCCACTGTGCTACACTTCCCGCCCCGCCCCGCCCCCGTCTAACTGGACAGAAAGCGGCGAGATGCATTTCCTTAGGAATCGACAAGCAGAACCGAAACTAACATTTATAAACGAACAATTGTGGACACGTACAATTTGCGAATGAGTTCTGCCTTTTGTAAACTGAATTTATCAATAATTTGTCAATAAATCAGGGCGAAAAACGTCACTTGTCCACCGGACAAGTCAATTGAAAGATCTACTTGTCCGATATTGTAAATAACACGTCCCGGACGGTGGGACGTGTACTTTTTCGCACACTGCGTATGAGTTCAGGAGTTTAGTGAAATGGCTCTGATCGGAGGCCAAGCAACTCTTCAAACTGTAACTAATATAAAGGAAGAAAACGAGTTAAAACATTTCGGTTTGAGGCGTCTAGTGGCTTGACAGAAAAACAAGGAAGGAAGCCACGACAGCAACCTTTATTAATCATCTGACATGTTACTGCATCCCCAGCACTGTCCAAGATTCAAAGGCTTTTTGCCATAAGCACAACAGCTACAGCGTAGCTTTGGTAAAGATAATGTCAGGCTCCTCCTATAATGCAACATATACCTAAGGCATAAAACAAAACTTAAACAATGGAGCTAGTGAAATGCATGGAATAAAACAAGATGATACCAAATGTAAAATAAACGCTGCATAGTGGAATAAAATACGTGTTTTTGTAATAATATCTAAATATGTGGACTGTTCACCTGTGTCGATGTCGTTGCTGTTTGCTGCTTCCCTCAGTCGCTTCACCGCTGGGGAGATAAGATATTCAAAGTGATAATGATGTAAATCTTGCTTTACGGCTGGACGAATGGGAACAGATTGACAAACACGGGCTAACACTGGGATAGTTACGAGCTTCTCTGAGCAACACATGATGTGCTTACATGAGACGATGCAAGTACCTTCAATTGGGGCAAAATTCACAAACTACAATATTAAATGAATATGAAATGTATTTGTTGGTGATAAAAGCAGAATAATAATATTTTGGAAATGTTACTATTGATACTTGAAGTACATTTAGCTGATATTATTTCTGTATTTAGGGAATGCATTCAATTCAGGACTTGTACTTGTAATGGATTGTTGTGGGAGCGTAGTATTTCTACTTTTACTTACGAACCCGAGTACTTCTTCCACCACTGTACACACATAAAGCTGAGCTTGATTTGTTGCAGGTATTTTGTAGTTAAACAAATGTAGCCTACACCTAGCTCTGAGATCCTTTACTTAAGTAAAGTACAAATACTATGGACTTAAAATATTCAATTACAAGTACAAATCCGGAATTCAAAATGTTGAGTAGAGAAGTATTATCAATGTCGTCCAATTATAAAAGTAAAAGTACTCAGTTGTCAGAATGGCTCTTTTCACAGAATCATATTATTTTAGAATAGTGTTTTTATTTTGTTAGTCAGAAACAAGTCTGTCAGAGTTGAGCCAATTCAATTAACTTTAAATAACTGGTACATTTTTAGAACAGTACTGCATCACATCCTACGCATATCGTGTGTAATTATATGTACTACAAAGTAGCTAGTAACTATAAGTGTTAAATAGATATAGTGCAATATTTGTCACTTAAAGGTAGTGGAGTAGAAACAGGACAACGTGGAAATACTCAAGAGCAGTATAAGTATGTCAAAATAGAAAAATGTCATGTGTCTGTTGATTGTGTATATATAGGATATACATATTTTATATATATTTGTATTTTTGTATTCAGGATTGTGGGAAACGGTATTTCGATCTCTCTGTCTGTCTGTACACACAAACTGAAAGATTGACAATAAAGTTAACTTTGAATATATATAGTACAATATCTGTCACCTAAATGTAGTGGAGTAAAAACAGGACAACGTGGAAATACTCAAGAGGAATACAAGTATGTCAAAATAGAAAGTACTTGAGTAACTTTGTAAATGCACTTTAAATTGTTTGGTTTCTTTTTCTAATTAAATTAAATGTTACTCACCATAGATATCTTTCCCCAGAGGCCCCACGCTTCGGCTCAGCCTGTGGTTCCTCCTGCAGCTCACCTTCCCCGCCCGGCTGCTCAGAGCCTCGCCCCCCCGCTCCCACAGCAGGTGCAGCACCCTCAGCTCCGTGTCGTCCCTCGGACCGACCCGACCCAGAACCAGCTTCCCCTCCCCAGTGCCGCTCATCCCGAACCCCACCGCAGCAGAAGAACCAGAAGCAGCAGAAGCAGTGGTTCCTCCAGAGGGGGCCATGCTCTCTCCCTCCCCCGCCTCCAGGCTCCCATCCTGGGCTCCGGGCTCCAGCATGTACTCCCCCTCGGAGCTGGAGCGCTCAGTATCCGAGGCTACGATTGGGCTCCACCCGTCCATATTTTATGGATGTTTACACAACTAGAGAGAGAATCAGAGTCAGAAACATAAACCGATCGCATTATATAACCACCACGGCCCCTAGTAGCCCCCCCCCCACACACACACAACAACAACACAGACTATAAGATAAGACTTTATTTATCCCGAAGGAAATTGTTGTGCCAGTTACAAAAATACAAGCAGCATAATAATAAAACCGTACACTAACAGTGCCGTAAAAAGAGCAATTCAATATCTACAGGAAACATAATTAATGTAAATATTACCAGTAATTAGTCGTGCAAAAAAAAACAACGGCAGATACGTAATTGCACGTTTATCATAGCACATTGTTAATAATAATGCTATTGCACATGTTGTATAGCAGAGTGTTTTGTAATGATGGTAATTGTATTTATTTTGCATATAGTGGTGGTGTGGAAGTTCTCAGTTCACTTTACTGAAGGGTGATAGAGTTTAAAAAGGTCCATCTTCTCTTATCTTACATACGAGGAATTTGCCTTGGAGGACATACTGACAACACAGTTAGGGAAGATAAAAAGTAAGAAAAACAACCCAAAAATCAAATGTAATATTCACTGCTGACTATAAAACTAAAATCTGGATATACCCAAAAACGATGTACAGTATACTATTGCGCAATACAACACAGACAACAGACAGACAGACAGACAGAGACACACACACACACACACACACACAGACACACAGACAGACACACAGACAGACTATTGATCCCAAAGTTAGGAAATTGTGTTGTCAAAGCAGCATTTGACAATCAAGATACAGGAATTACAAAACGAATAGCATAAAATAAAGATAAATACTAAAAATGTCAAAACAATACATATTCTCAGTAAAAACTACCTATAGTCAGAGGAGTATCTAGACATTATAGAATATACAGAATACATTTGAATACTCTCTAATCTACTGTACATATAAACATTGTACTGAAACCTCAACTACTACTGCCAAAGAAAAACAGGAAATGAAGCCGTCGGTAATACCTTTCAACCATGGAGCCATTGCACGGGAGGTTAGTCCAAACTGCCCCAAAAAAGTGCTTATATTCCGGGTTATTTGTAGTATTTTCACACCCTTCCTTCCAGCACCAAAATGTCCCCTATTTCACATTTCCCATTATCGGGTAGAGGTATTAAAAAGCGTTCCCATTGGACATTCAGCAGCTCTGAGTCAGTGTCAACCAATCAGAGTCCGTGTTGTTCAGTAGCTCCCCTCAAATAGAAGCGATGGAGCGGGCAGCCAATCAGACACGTTGCTTTACACATGCGCACTGTGTACAGGTTGAAATTGGAATTTATTTAATATTTTGAAGGGACAATTGTTCCATTTACGATTTAAAAAATATATAGAAATAGAAAAAAAATAAAAGAATATTTATATTAAAATAAGAAGTCAAAGTAGCAATTTTGGGGAAAAAAGAGAAATTATAAAATATATATTTAAGTTAATAATGGTCCACAAAACACATTTATTTCATTTAAAAACAGTCTTTTTAATATATGTTTCATCAGGCAACCTCATGTTTAATGTATAATCCATAATCGTTTTTTAACACTCACCCTCCACCTATAAAGCTTCAGATAATTTAGATTTAAAGTAGAATCAGTAGGATTATGTCAAGGTATTGGTTTTATGGACAGAATCATTATATTCTGTATATATTCATGGATGCAAAAGCAAGAAAGAACTTATATAATATTTCAAGAAAAAGTATGTATTTATTCTGAATGACATTACTGCTCAGCGGCTCAAACTAAGGCTGTAAAATAGACTTCTTTAAATCACAAATACATCCTTCATGCTCACATTTTAAACATCTTTTTCACAGGTATAGTTAAAAGGGTTATCACTGTTTAGCTCGCTGTAATAATTAATCTTATGGTTGCATTCGCTGGGATCCTCCAAAGATGGCCGACATGCTGTTGATGCCGTCACAATCGCAATTGTTGTGAAACTAAGGCAGTAAAAATAGACTATCATACTTTGGTTTTTAATTGATGACACATCTCAATGATTGAAACGGACAGTGAGACAAAGCTCAGCTCCAGTCTCAAACTCTAAACACATGTTCTACTTTGGAAACAATTTACAATTCACCGTGTGTCTTTATCCTCATACAGAGCACAGCTGACTTCCTGTTTACAACAACAACAACAACGTTAGCCAGTGTAGCAGCGAGAGGTGTGTTATCCCAGGGTATATGCAGGAATCCTGAAATCAAATGTAATACCTTTTAAGACCCTTTCCATTCATTTTAAGACCTCATCGCAACTTCAAGTTATAACCGGATACATTGGTGACACAATTGACCTCACATTTACTATATTGATTGTAAGATAGCACAACAATCTATCAACAGTTTGTGATAACTAAACTCCTTATCATAATTCAGATAAAACAAAGCACAAGAGAATTAATTGTGTGACCAACCCAATGCAAGGTTTATTAGAAAAAGAAACCATTAGAAAGTATTTGATTTAGGCATTGTTCGCGGACACCCTGTATCCAAAACCTGTTTCACCAGTTCATGTTTTCTTTGCTGTTTGGAATATGCTCCGATCTGATTTTCACAGCAAAATGCATCTTTCCCATGTGGACCTGGAAGATAAACTGGAAAACACTTTTATTAAATAACCAACAATCACTTCATACAGA